TTCAAGTCTGCCAAACTACCTAAACAGCACCAGCTTCTTCATTTGGTATTTATTGTAACCACGTTAATAACCATCTAAGTTTCATTCCATTTTACATTCTAATAGTGCTTTTTTTCATTTGGTAAATACTGCTGTGTTTTACAACCAAAGACTCATCTGCACAGGCTTGGCCTCGCTTAAGAGCAAACCATTTGCCAAAGTCAATAAAGGTTTTGCACCATCACGTGACGGCAGCCATGTTAGATGGCAGGAACAATACAATCGTTTTACATAAGAAAGAATTCACCCCCCAAGGGCAAAGGGATTTTATTGTTCTGCCATCTAACCACAGGCAGCCCAAGCCATATTATGGGCGCCAGCACGTGATGGTGCAAAATATCTATTGTAATGTAAAGAATGAGCAAGTCGAATATTACCAATGTATTGAAATCTCCTGAACTTTCAATGGCGTCTGTAAATAGCTGACTTATAAACAAGGCTATATGAGCCTGTGCAAATGAATAAATTTATCAATAAATTTATTTAYTCATTTTCGTTTTAACTTTGAAATTACATCTTCATCTGCATGCCGGTTACATCATGTTGTCCAAAATTATCTTTTTCTTACCGATGAATTCGAGTCTGACGTCAGTGATAATTTATTCCTAATTGGTAAATTTACTAAATCACTAAAAAAATTTACTAAATTACAAATGTTCTATTCTTGTATGACATTCTTCCTGCAAGTAGGTGTATGCATCAAATGCAAAACTGGTGTATTGGACATTATTAGTAATATGAGAGTAACTATGTTTCCCCCCCTGCTTTCCATCTAGGGATTACTTGAAGATGTTGATAGTTCAGAACAAAGGTTAGAAGTATGTGTGTGTTTGATGTAGTTAGTTATTTGACATAATTGCCCTATTTCACTATGACGTCACTGCTTGTTTATGTGTGGGATAGAATCGCCAAATCCAATAGAAAATTCAACAAAATTTGCTCCTAGCTAGCGAAACAGTTTAATCTAATCCTGGTTTTCAGATATAATATGTGTTAATATGTACTAAAAAATATTCTGAGCGTTTGCTGGCTATTCTAGTTCTCTTCGTGGATTGATACGGGTTTTAGAACAATTTTCGGTGAATTTGCGTTGATTTGACCCCYTCCGACGACCATGATCCTTTGCGTTTAAACAATAGATTGTTTTGATGTGACGACATAGTGAAATAGGGCAATTGATCCCTTATTGATCTACCAGTTCAGACATTATGAGGTTGAGAAAAAATAATGGGAGGTTCTTATATAGCGCATTCCACATGGTCTCAATGCGTGGTACATTTTTATGACCCGTGGAGGACTTTACAGGCTGCACATTAAGGCACTATTAGCAGATTACAATTATTAGTGAGTAGATTGGGATAATATGCCTCCAAATGAGGATAGGCTGTTGAACAGAGAGACAATCCCCTACTCTTACACGAATAATTGGGTCGAGTCGACATTAAGCCCCGTTTACACTGGCGATTTTTGCTGCGATTTTTGCTGCGATTTTTGTGGCAATTTTCGGAAATACAAAATCTTTTGTCCCATCCTTCAAAAGAGACATTCGTCTAGGAAAATCTTGGTATCCTGAAATAAACTTTACGAGTAAATTCTTTACCATTATTTGTTATGGACAAAATCGCAACAAAATCGCAGAAAAAATCGCAAAAAAATCGCTAGTGTACACGGGGCTTTACAGTGCATTGTGGGGCTGTTGTAGGGAATATATTTCCAAGATGTCGTCTATTTTGTCCCCCAAACAATCCCAAAATGCACTGCATAGCCAACTCGACCCAGCTTTCCCCCTCAAGCTCAGAATGGCTAAT